TGGAGCGTTCACAATACAACTGTAATATAAGCCTTAGCAATAAAATGAGCACATCCACAAAATAGTCCATGTCACATCTGAAATACAAAAATTGAAATATTCTTATAAAACATTCAGACACAAGATTGATAGATGGATACAATCTTTTATTCTTTTTTTTTTTACCTTTCCATTTATTCCAGAAAAACTTTCTATAAAAAAATCATTGCTTCTTTTGGAATAAATCTTTAAAATCATTTCTTTTAAAATGCATCTTTCGTTTGTACAACACTAGTTAAATATATTATTGGTATTCTGCAAATGAATCACACCAGAGAACATTCACAGTATGTGTATCCTGGCTGCTTGGATCTATTTTTCCTGCTGTAGGACAAGCATGATGCTGAGGATGAAAGAAGGCAATGAAGACACCAGAAAGTGGGTTTGATAGTGTTTGTGCGCAGACATCGCTACTGGGGAGTGCTAAGGGGACATCCAAACCCATTTCTTACAAGACTCGAGTGTACAGAGACAGGACAGCGGTGCGGCACGGCCGGAGCAGCACGGTCAGGCAGGGCCACAGCTTCTGGCAGGTGAGCTCATGTCACTTTTAACCTCACCTATTTCAGAATCAAGAGCTGATGGCCCTTGCAGGACCTGCTCAGCCATCACTGGCTCTGTGCTCTGAGCAAACCTGGGCTTGTGCGGCTGCAAGCTGCCAGACACACGCTGGTGAAAGCAGAGTTTGGCCACCCGGAGCAGCACGGTCAGGCAGGGCCACAGCTTCTGGCAGGTGAGCTCATGTCACTTTTAACCTCACCTATTTCAGAATCAAGAGCTGATGGCCCTTGCAGGACCTGCTCAGCCATCACTGGCTCTGTGCTCTGAGCAAACCTGGGCTTGTGCGGCTGCAAGCTGCCAGACACACGCTGGTGAAAGCAGAGTTTGGCCACGTCAGGCCAGGCAGGCTCCCACCCCCAGCTCTGGTCCCTGTTCCCAGACTGCTCCCGGGAGCTCCAGGCTCCCATTTTATGCTAGCCTAATTTCTGACTGAAGATAAGTCATGGGAAAAAAAAACAACAAAACATCTGAGAAGCTTGGGAAAATGGGCTTCTAGTTTTGTTTTCTTTTTTAATCATGTGTAAGGGAGAGGAAAAAATCCACTTATTTTGTCCTTAGTCTCCAAGATACAGTGTAGTTTTGTTATTTAAAATCTTAACATAGATCTGGCAAGGGTTGGGCCAGGAAAGGCGTGTGCATGTGTGTATGGAGAGCGTGAAATTAAATAGCTCTGCCTCTAAGTTTTATTGTTGTCCCGTAACATGGACCTTGCTTTACACATTACTTTACTCATATTTCTTTAACTAGCTATCAGCTGGAGAGACGAAAGAGCACAGCCTTTCCTGAGGGCACAGCCAAAGTTCCATTTTCCACCAGAACTAGTGAAAAAGAAAATTGCAAGAAAAATGTCTGGAAGACAAAGCAACAGTTTCCTTTTGTCAAAACTCCTCATCTGCGAGGAGGGCCAGCTACTCTGCAAAGCGGTGGATGGGAGAACCCACAAAACAAAAAAAAATGCCGGAAAGCCACAGACATTCCCAGCATTTTCATTACCGCTGCTTTAAAAATCTGACTTGGGAGCTGGTGGGCGCTCCAAAAGCTGGGGAAAGCCGGCCCGGGGATGAGCTGCCGGAGCAGGCAGGGAGCGATGCCATCGGCAGCAGGAGTCCCGCAGCAGATTTCCTCCCCTTCCAGGTGGGGAAGAGTGGGACACCGGTCTGCTCGGGGCTTCTATAAACTGGGGCATCCAAGAGATCTCTGTCCTCATCAACCTAGCTGGACCCTGTGGTCCTCAGGGGAACAGGAACGCTATCCAGGAGATGGAGAAAGGGGATTTGGCTCTGAGCTCTAATTACTGCCAACCTGCAGCTCCTTTTCTTCGCAGCCGAAGCTGGTGGGGAGTGTGCCGTGGGAGACCAGACGCTCAGGGATCTGCCAGCCAACACGAGCAAGCGCAGGAGCTTGCAAATCAAATCTTGCTCAGCGGGGCACCAAATATTTAAACACACTATCGCCCTCCGAATAGGAATCAAATATCCACTAAATGCAGTGGAACAAAAGAGGTTATCTTAAATTCTGGCTGTTAGTAGCACACAGGGCTAATGTGTCTCATTTAGGAAGGATTTGTAGGAGGAAAGGCAAAGGCTATGAAAGAACAAACAGCAGGTAACAGGCCCTTTGTCTTTGCTATCTGATCCCGGGTAAAGCAGTCCTGTCTACAAGGTCATTGCTACGTCTTTCCCCAAAGTTTCTCCCCAGCGGTTTCTGTAGGTGACCTTGACCTTCAGCAGGAATACCTCTCTTACAGGGGAGAGCTGAGACCACACCGATCTGGTGGTCTGGTCTGGTCTGCCTCCATCCTCCCAGTGTGAAAGTGGGATGGCTTAGCTGGGCACCCTATGCTCCAGCAAGCTTCATGCCCAAGGCAATCTCAGTGCATGGGGATGGTAACACCAAGCAAGAAAACTGCCCAAAGACAGGTCAAACCTGTCCTGAATGGGCTTCCCAAGAGTGGGCGGAGGGGGTTCCTGCTCCCCCTGGTCTGATCTGTGCTCACAGACCGCAGAGGGGGCTCTGCTACCCTGGGCACACCAGCACACTTCGCCCCATGTACCTGAAGGTGCTGCTGCAGGGGCACGGGAGATGCTGCGTCCCATCAGCTGGCCTGCCTGCTGAGCTGCTAATTCCTGACGGGGGCTGGCTGCCCTGGGAAGTGCAAGTCTGCACCACAGGTCCCTGCCATGCCAAGGAAATTCCTGCATAAAATGCCTTTGTGAAAGAAAAGATGACAGTGTGAGAGTTCAGACTTACTCCAGCCAACACCTCCCCTTGTGAACCTCCCTACTGAAAACCCCCACGCAGCAGGAGTCGGGTGTAGGAAACCAGGCAAAACACTACCCTGACATCAGGGAGAAATGCGTCACTGGTGGCTGATGGCTATTCATGCTCTTCCCTATCAAATGGAAACAATTAATGAACTATTCAGCCTGCTGTATGCTGGACATACCGAGAAGGGAACGGAGCAGGGATGGGCAAACCTCAAACAATGCAGACGTCTGGATGCTTGTCTAGGACAAACCCGAATTAACAACTTTGGTTTGAGGGGGGAAGCTCAGAGGGTGCATCGAGCACTGGCACAGGCAGGAGTTGCCCCAGAAGCTCTGGGGAGCATCGAGGTCTCCACATTTATCCTCACACTTTGCATTTTCTGAGAATCACAGAAGAAATGCCGCACAGCAAAGCAGAAAACAGAGCCCTCACTCCCTGTTCAATGGGGAAACAGTGGCATGGAGAGTTACCATCCCCTAAGCAATGCCTCCCAGGCTGGGAGCGTGATGGGTCAAGACATCAGCATGCTCTGCCAGTCCCAGTATAGACGACAGTCACAGCACCTGTCTTCTGAAGTCCAGAGTCTTCTGGCCACATCCATGGGCTGGAGGACCAGTGGGCAAGAGGACTAGCCATCTGGGACAGCCAAGAAAAGGATGTGAATATTATACAGTAGAGAGACTTCTTGCAACGCTCACAGGCTTGAAGATGTTTCAGGCTGTGAGGGAGAGGTGCAGCAGGGCCTCTTGGCTCAGGATGGATTTGGCACGTTCCTGAAGTGTACGGAAGGGAAAACGCACCAGGAGCCGTCCTTGGCCAGCAAATCATGCTCAGATCTAAGCACACACACAGCATCGATCCGAGTCAGGGCTGGTACGATCTGGCGCTGGCTACAAACACAGAGGCCAGGCAAAGAGGATTGAGGGATGATTTGCTTCTCTCCGGGTCTATTTCTGGTCCCCACAGCTGAGCTGTGGGAGGTTTGGCACTTCTCCCCCTTCCTCTGGGTAGAAATGCACTGAGGTGGGTGTGTGCAACACTTTGGAATGGTGAGGCTGCACAGCTCGAGCTCTGCCATGGTGCGTTGGGGCTCAGCGACGAGACGGGAGGGAGATGCGCTCCTGCAATGCCGGCTGGGAACCGCATCCTGCCCCTTGTGACGATGGCAGAGAGGGTCGCGGGGTGGTGGGGCAGCAGGCTCGGTGATGAGAAAGGGGCCGCTCCATCGGTGCCGGGGAAAGGCTGGCGAAAGGGCTCAGTGCAGCAACAGGAGGCAGCACGGGGCCGATGCTCATTTGGCCCCAGTTCTGCACAGCCCTACCAGCAGGTACCCGCACCCCGGGTGGGCTAAGCCAGTCCTTGCTCTCAGCTCAGGACATCCCTGGGGAGCAGCCAGCTGACTGAATTTGGAAACACAATGGTGGCAAGGAGGGGGAAATGCTGGGGGAAACAATGGGAAGCCCGCTCCTCCCAGCTGCTCCATCCTTGTCCGGATTCAGGTACCAAAGATGGGGAGAGAAAAAGGGGTTATGTAGGCAGTGGCAAGGCCAAACAAGGGAGGGCTGCCCTGGTTTTTGTGCTCCAGATGCAGTCTCTCCAGTGCCAGGCTGGGTCATGCCCCTGACTCGTAACGTGGCTGCAAAGTGTCTCCCCCAGAAATAGTGGGTACAGAGCAGGTTGTCTGAGCAAAGGTACGTTTTCAGAAATGCCTGCCTGGGCTACACGCTACGATCCACAGCCCAGTTTTGGAGACACCACTCTCTGCTCACAAAACCTCCCTATGTCCTCTCATCCCCTCAGAGCAGCGAGCGGTTCCCTGGGGCAGCACACGATCCTGCGCTCCGGGCAATGCCCAGGGCAGCTCCTCATAGAGCAACTGCACAGAGGGCAGCAGCTCACGTTTGATGGGGGCAACAGGAAAACAAGAGGGGAAAAAGGCCACAGGTCCACCAACGGCAGCTGCTAGGGGCTGTGGTTGTGGGGACAGGCAGGGGAGAGCCTGCGGCCAAGGGTGCTTCAGCATCATCCTGCTCGAGTCAGTAATTCTGCAGTGGGTCAGGTGGGAGCGTGTTGCTGTCTCCTTTCTCAGTGCTTTGATCTCCATGGTGACAAGGGGAACACGAGATCCACGTTTAAAATATACTCTGCCTCCTGTTCTTCCCTCGGGCTGAGGAAGAGAGAGAGAGATCGGTCAGAGAGGTCAGACGGCAAGTGGCACTTTACAGAGACGCCAAGCCCTCTGGTGCTCTGGGCTAGGAGGTTAACAAGCCCATGGCAGCCACGGAGGAGGGAGCTGTGCCTAGATGTGACTTTAGTACCAGGGCAGGTGACAAGCAAGGATGCACATGGGGTAACTTGTGGACTAAAGCAGGGAGCAGGAACAAGGTTTGGCGTTTTCCTACGCGAGACCCACTGGGAGCAATCCCAGCGCCAGCACGGTCCATGGTACCATCTGGGAGAAGTCAGCATGATTTTCCCCGGTCCTACCTGACTGCTGAAAGGCTGAGCCTCGGTAGCCAGGGTCCTTTTGAAGCTGGATCTCTTTCAGGGAGAAGATGGAAACATCTAGGCAGAGGGGGCAGAGAGAGAGGGGTCAGTCCAGCTGGCTGAGCTGGAAGTGGTCTGCAAACCTGGAGCCAGGAGGGATGGCAGTGCCGAAATGCAGCACTGCACCTCAACAGAGCTTCTCTCTAACACTCACTCCTACTCTACACTGTCCTGTCCACAACTGCTTCTTGCTCTTGCAACCCCCAAGCTCCCACCCCACCCTGCTGCAGAAGCACCCACTTCCTCTGAGTCAGCAAAGACAAGAGGCATCCCAAAGAGACCTGGCTGCAAACCATCACCCTCGGGCTGCACAAAAGCGCTTTGCTCCACACCCCCAGGCGAGAGGACAGCACGCACTTACTGTCAGGCAGGAGATGCACCCGTTCTCCCAGGCTCTTGAAGTAAGCATGCCGCAGGGCTGCCTCCGCCGAAATCCGGCCTTTGGCTTCGTACTGCACAAAGCCCCAGAGAAAGGCAATTACACTCAGTCTGCACGTGTGAGACAGCACGCAGTGGGCACAGAGGCCCCATACAGGGTGTGTGCACATTTGTGCATCTACGCACATGTGAGCGCCCAAGCAATTTCATACGCTGCATGGGTGACTGTGTTCAACCATTGTGCACACCATGGGGGTGTGCAGGCAATTACCAGTGCCATTTGCCCGTGCACGAGGCACAGCACACATGGTACAACCACAGGAGCGCACCAGCCACGTCATACCTTACGATCATGAGGTTTGTGTCCTCTCACCTGTGTGTGAGAGGACACAGAGTAAAGGATGGTTCACCGTCCTTAATAGGAGGTGGTTTGGGATAGCATCTACAAGGTCAGAGCTGTAGGGCTGTGGCTTATTCTGCAGTCACAGCTCCTCTCCTGCCTGGCTCCAAAATGAGCGTGAGGGCAGCCAGAGCACCTTCACTTCAGCAAATCCCTTTGCCATCCACCTGGACTGCTCTACCACTCACCAGAAGGAGGTTCATCAGCAAGTCAATGCCTTCCGAGTCCAGCCTGAGAGAAGGAAGAAATAAAAACCGGAGCATTACTGCACCCAGGAGACATTGCAATAGTCAATACAAGGGACAAGTGGCAGCTGGGATCTTCAGCGCACAGCTGCATTCAGAAGCTGCCAACACCACAAAGAGAAAATTAAACTGGTCTCCCCAGGCTCCCCTTTACGACCAGCGCAAGCCCACCATGCCTTATGTGTCTCTGCTCAAGGAGGTACCTTGGGGCGTGATTTATTAACGGCTGGGCTCGGTACTGTGTGAAATTGTAAGCCTTAAACTCCTCGTTGGATGTTATTCCAGGCCAGGTGTCTTCTGTTGGGGTTCCTGGGAGGGGGAGAGAGGGAAACCTTGTCATGCTCGTTTGGTGCAGAGAAAAGAGCCTCACGCATGCAGGTGCCAGCATCCTGTCCAGGGGAGAGGGCACGAATTTCCCCAGCAGGCTGGTACTCGCCTGCACATCCCAGGGGGCAGCCGGCGAGGAGCTCCTCGCCCTCACATCCCTGCTGACTGCAAGGCTGGAGGGGGGCTGCGGGCAGCCTCTGCCCACGCCTGCCCACGCCACGGCAAGGCTTTGCCAGCCGGCTCCCTCCAGGCTCCCGAGGCGGCGCCGTGGCATCGCTCCTGCGGTCAGCCACTGCCCTCGCGTGGGGTTTCGGGAGACAGCAGAAGACTCACCCAGCAGCCTGAAGATCAAATGCAGCTCTTCTTTCACCGTGGAGCCGGGGAACATGGGCCGTCCGGTGACCATCTCGTAGTGGATGCACCCAACACCCCTAGAGCAGCAGCAGAGGCTCGGGGATTAGTGAGGGAGAAGCCCTGTGGATGCCCCACCAGCCCTTGGCCAGGGCTGAGGTTCCTGGAGAGGGAAACGAGCTCCAGGAGCTCTGTCCCTTCTCTGCTCCAGGTAACCATTCACCCCTGATGTGGACAGTGTGCCCCAAAGACCCTGAGTCCCGGGGGACACGGAAAACAGCATGGCCTCTGGGAGAGCCCACCACCCTCTGGCATAACCAACACTGCGGGCACGTACGGTGCTGCACTGGCAGACAGATGGAAATGCCCGACCCACCATCTCAGAGAGCCCAGGAAGCTCAGTTCGGAGCCGTGGCTCACCACATGTCGATGGGTGTGGAATATTCAGTAGATCCCAGCAGGACGTCAGGGGGCCGGTACCACAGCGTGACCACCTCATTGGAGTATGTTTTCGTAGGGACTGACTTGGCTCTGGCTAGTCCTGAGGACAAAAGGGATGAGCATCAAGGAGCAGCACCCCCTTGCAATGCTGCCTCTTCCCTAGAGAGACCCACCTACCGAAGTCAGCCAGCTTGAGCTCTCCTCTCTCATTGATGAGCAGGTTCTGGGGTTTGAGGTCTCGATGCAGGATCTTTCTCCCATGACAGTAAGCCAGACCACGCAGCAGCTGGAACATGAAGATCTGTGGGGAGGAGAAGGGGTTTGCATTTTGCACGGGGGACACAGGCACCAAAAGTGAGTCTGCCTCAAGGGCTCTCAAACTCATGGCCAAGAAAGACCCCTCGAAGCCGGCCTGGGGTGGGTCACACTGTAGACAAGCGTTCAGGCCCATCACCAGCAATCCAGAAAAGGGGATGAACAAAGGCTGCATGCACAGTAATTTTATTTAGGGTGGCAGTGTCTGGAGAAATGCTGGTGGAGCATCAGAGCAGGCTGAAAAAGGTCAATAAAGAGCAAGAAGGCTGAACTGAGGAGAGAAGAGATATCCAGTCTCACCCAGCCCTGCAGCTCCCTAGACTCAGGGTGAGCTCCCCACATGCGGAGAGAGGCAGAGGTACAGGGTCCCAGGCAGAACCGTATTACCTTCACATTGTGCACGCTCATCAGGTTCCCACAGTTATCGAGGTACTGCTTGAGGTCGTTGTCCTGCAACAGGAAGCACACACACGTCAGCCTGTCCTTCCCTCAGCCCCCATCACCCACCCGCAGAAAGGCAGGCGTCCCCCCGGCTCCCGCAGAAAGCCCCCCCAGACCCACCAGGTACTCGAAGACGAGGGTGAGGGACCGCTCCGTGTGGATGATGTCATGCAGGGTCACGATGTTGGCATGTTTCAGGTTCTTCAGCAGCGACACTGCAAGCAGAGGACACGGCAGGTTGGGGCAGCAGGACCTGGGTACCGCGCAGCAGCACGCTGGTGGGACTGCAGGTATACCTGTCCACCTGCACCACCCGTCCCAAATCCGCCTGTGACCTGGCATTGCTCATGAGGGGTTGTGGTGGGGAAAAGCCCCTCCTGCCCTCACCTTCCCGTATGGCCGTGCAAGGTGCCCCTTCCTCATGTTCCAGGCGGATTTCCTTCAGGGCAACGAGGTTTTCGGTGAGCTTGCTGCGTCCCTTGAAGACAGTGGCGTAAGTGCCCTGGGGGAGAGAGAAAATACAAGTCATGCAGACCATTTATCAGGGTGGCACAACACCATCATGTTTGCAGGAAGGAACATTTGAAGCTAAGAGCCAAGTCTGAAGTCCACAGAAAGACCCGGTCTAAAAATTGCTAGACACTGAAGAAATTTGGCTACAGTCTGCTCTTTGCACTTCAAGCTGCCCTTCTAACTTAATTTAAATCCTTACAGGGGTTTCACAGTCTACTCACCTCTCCCAGTTTATCCAGTTTAACGTAAGTTTCCAGCTTCCCAAACCCGATATCTGACTGTAAGAGAGAAAGGAAAACATCACTGGAGGAGATCTCATCCAGGGATGGCTTCACCCCAGCAAGGGAAGGTCAAGGACTCTGGGCAGTAACAGCTTTGGGGGCAGATCAATCAAGGCAGGTGTTTGCATGCAGCAGCCCAGCTGACCAAAGTACATAAACTCTATTCCTTTCCTGAAGAAGCCCTGCAGGCAACTAGGCAATCAATCATAAAACCTTCACAACTGACCGGCTGCTTAAGTGAAATGGATGGCACCTGACCTGCAGCCCGCAGGACTGCCCCTTCCCACTGCCACCCCCGCGATTCCCCTCTCCTCTCACCCACCACCCTGACACAACACCAGCAGCGGCCCAGTCGAACAGGAGTTGTGATTTGCAAAAAGCCGATGCCCTTTCTATCGCAGAAGCCTCACGGGATCCTGCTGCTGATGCCCAGCCCTTCTCTTGAGTGCTTTCCTACATCCTGGTCTTTACTGCGACTCCGTTCATTTCTCGGTGTGCTGTTCAAATCAAGCGTGAAAAGGGACATTTTCCTATTCCGAACAGTAACTCTTCAACATGTTGCTGAGACTCGCCGTCGTGTACCCAGTGAAAGACGGGCAACCGCTGCAAGGCCACAGATTTAGGTGTCACTCCTAGCAGACCCCTGACATTGCAGTTTTCTGTGGGGACAGAGACACCTTCTCGGATTATCTGTGTGCCAGGGAGGTGATGGTTCCCAACACAACACGGCCCAAGGCCCAGGGCAAATTATTGCTCCTTAAGCTTAATAAACCGCTGTCATTCTCCCACAAAACAGGTCTGCATCGGTGTAGTCCCAGGCCAGCAGCCAGCTCTGACTCCAGCCCAGGAGCGCTGCCCCTTCTCCTGAGCCAAGGGCTCATGCCATGCCGCTCGCCATCAGCAGATGGAGCTGGATGGACAGCTGTCAATCAGCAGGCAAAGACACGGGCTGTGCAGGGAAAGGGTCCCCCGGGGGAGGCACGGAAGGAGCCCCCTGCACTGTGCCCAGGGCTCTGCCTGCAGAACCAGCAGCCCCAGGTCCGGCGTGCAGCCTCCCGGGCTCACAAGATCTGCCCCATGGAAAGGCTCTTTCCTTGCAACCAGCACTGACCAGACCACCAAGCTCTCACAAGCCGCCACACACAGCAGGAAAGCTGTCTTCTTGCTCATGCAGGCTGGGTTTGTATCCACAAATCCTAGGGGAACATAGAGTTTTTAACTCCACTTTGGCTTCCCCAAGCCCTCTGCGTGCCCTGGGAACAGACGTGTCCTGAGCAGGGAAGTGAGGTGGCTGCCGCAATCTGAGGTGCTCTACACCCCCAGAGCCATACTGCGAGTTTTGCAGGAGCATGGCTTACTCATGGAGGAGACCATGAATATTAATGGCACATTGCTCTGGCTGTGTCTATTTTATTGATTAGACAGAACAGGCAAATAAATGCAAACTCTCCTTTCCGCCTCCCTCCTCCTGAACAGGCATGCCAGATCTGAAGACGCCTGCTGAGACCTCGCTGCGTATCGGTACAGCACGGAGCACTCCCAGGCAGCAGGACACACGCTTGCACATTTGTAAACAGGGCACCGGGTTTTTGCTCCTACACATGCTGACACTCTGCAGTAAAGAAACTGAAATGCCAACACTAATGCAAAGGCTAATTCATTATTTATTGGCATTTGCATTTCAACTAGCAGAGGCTCCAGCACTTGCTAAACCGCACGAGGCTTTCCACCTCCTCCCATTTGGAAGGAACCAGGCCAAGAGGAAAGTCAGGCATGTGCAGAGGTGAGTGAAGGAATATGCAGGCCTGGGGATTTGTACAGCAGTATGCAGATGTGCATGTGTAGGAGTGACACGAGGAAGAGATGTATATGTGCGTGGTGGGGGGAATGTGTGCTGCTGGGAGTGTGCAGAAAGGGATTTGCATGGGCAGGGATGTGTGCGTGTGTATCTCAATGACACACGGGGGGTACAAGGGAGCTTGCACAGCAGGGCGCAACGGCATGGGTGGGTGGCAACCAGCACACGCGTCTGCTGGCTGGGACTTGTATGCATGAAGTGTGATGCTGTGTCCAGCACTGCTTGCTCTGCACGGTGAGACTTACGAGGGAAGCCCGTCGGGACATCCTGCTGAGGGGCTTAGGGAACTCCGGGCTCTCCATCTGCAGCTTCTGCAAGAACTCGGGGGGCAGGCGGATGTCCATGGGCAGGGAGAGACGCTTGCTGACATCCTGCGGAGAGGGCCAGAAAAGCGGGTGATGAATGCATCTGATGAAAGGAGGACCGCACAGAAACATTTAAGGGGAAGTGCTCTCTAACCAGAGCTGGTATTAAAGGCGAAGCAATAGGAGTAGCATCTGTGGGACCTTAGTCAAAGGAAAAGGGAAGATGCGTGTGCGTGCGTGTGCATGGGGATGTGCACTGGTGCCAAGTGCCATGGGATTCATGTTGAGTGCACCCAAGAGGACACCAGGGCTTGTGTCTGAGATTGCCAGGTCCCCATGAATCAAACACCGGCTCTTCCAGCCAGCAGGCAGGTGATCACCAGAACTTGCCACGTCCCTTCTGCCCACTCCAGCCTGCACCAGTACTTGCCTCCATGGAGAAGCGGCGCTGGTTGTTGTTGCGGTAGCGCACGGACATCGGGGACTGACCTTCCACCTCAGAGGGGGAGATGGGGCTGGCGTCTGCTTGGAAGTCCCTGCCCAGGTGTCCCAGCTGCAGATGCCCTTGAGCCAGGTCTGAGAAGAAGGAGAAAGGAGAGCGAGCTGCTGGAGTGGTAGCGGAAATGCCAAGGCCCAAGGCACTTGCTTTGGAGAAAAGAGAGTGAGAGCAGTCACAGAAGTCCAGAGATGCTCTGGGGCCATGGGAAAGTCTTCTTCCTTCTCTGTATCCAGGAGGCAGAGGGAATACCTGCTATTTGCTCCATACTCCTGGTGCATCGCCACCCACACAGCTCTGCTCAGAAGCACCCCCAAAGCACCGTCACGCAGCCCCCTGCAATGAAGGTCTCGTTTGACAGATGGGGAGGGGGATGCAGGGGAAGGAACTGCTTCACACCCAAGGCCAGCCATATCTCCCATGTCCCAGTCCAGTGCTCAACTCGCCAGGCAGCACTGCCAAGCAGCTCACCTTTCTGCAGCAGCACCACGGGGTTTTGCACGGGTGAGTATTCACCTTAACTTCCCAGCCTTATCTTCAGTAACGTCACACTAGGCAAAACACGATTTGCACTTTAGGAACACCTAGGTGCCTGACCGTGGCTCTGGATCCCTGTGTGCTAGGTCTGTACAAAAGCAATAGAAAGACAGCTCTGCCTCCGGGGAGCTTACAAGCGCATGTACCTAATCTGCCTCAGGAAACACCAAAACTAACAGATATCAGGGTATTTTCCTCCAAGGATCTCACTATTTCTCTAAAGGTGTTTGGGATTAAAGGCTGCAGAGTCACTTACTGCAAAACAAAACACTCTAGGCTTTCCTGCCCCAACCTGCTGCACTGAGCCAGACTCACAGTCCCAAGAAGCACAAAAGCTCTCTTGAAAACCAAAGTGGCTCAGAAAAATAACTCTTCTCTTGGGAGTCCAGGTGTGAAGCCTCACTGAACCCAAGAAACCCTAAAAGGCGCAAGAAAACAGAACAAAATAAGCCATTGAGCTCCCTCTGGTCTCCAGTTTGAGGCTAGCACTTAAACCTCCTCACTCTGTAATTAACAGCTGGTTGGCAGGAATACTCTGGCACGCACAGACCCGGACAGGGGCACAGCAAAACACCCGTGAGTTCAGTGCAGGTCACCTGGACCCCAGCGAAGGGGATTCCCCCGACTCACAGCGATGCTGTTTCCAAGGGGCTGTTCAGAAGGAGGCAGCGCTAACTGGGTGTGCTGGGAGGGAGGAGAACCACCTCCTCAAGGGAGGGATGCATCTCCCTCTGAAAAGGTGTCGGGCCAAGCAGTGACGACCGTTTTGTCCCCTTCCTGGTGGCCACACAGCTCTTGCCCTTCTCGTCTAAACGTTGCAGCTATGCTCCAAGTTAGCAAGGCCTCCAGGGTCCAAGGGCCCTGCCATAAAGCACTGGTGTCCTCCATGCATCCAGGCACCCTGCAGCTATTTCCCCAGAGCAAGGAGCAACACTGCAGGAGGAAAACTCCCCAGGGAAGACCTGTGATGTCCCAGGCTGAGCGGCTGAGCCCGGCCCCTTGCCAAGCCCTTTCCCTGAGCTGCACAGAGACAATCCCCTGCTATGCCTAACGCAGATTTCAGCGCACCGATCCCAACGGGCTCAGGCAGCCAGCGATGATCTCATTGCTGAAGACTGGCGAGGGAGGGCTGGCTTTCACGGGGTGGTGAGCAGGGCTGGGACCTGGCTGCAGTTTGCTCATCTGACGGATGAGAGGTGGCAGGCAAGTGACCTGGGAAAAGATGCGGTTTCGTGCCATGGTCACTGGAAGACCAGGGGACCTGCAAGCTAAGGGATGCAGGGTGTCCTCGATGGACAGCCCGCGACTAAGGGATGGGTTCAGCCCGTGCCACTGGGCTCAGGAGCATCTGAAATGGTGCCAGGAGCTTTAGGGCAGATAGGCAAGAACAAGGGACAGAGTCACCCCTTCTCCCAGCACCGCTGCGGGACTCTGGTCCCTGTCCCTTTCTGGCCATCTGTTTGTGCAGGGACAGTTAGGGAACTTCCCCTGAATTAACCACCGGTATGACATTGATGTGGATCAATTAAACTGGATCAAATCTTTTTAATTTCCTCACTTCCTAAGCAAATTACCAGAAAAAAACCCAAAGACCATTTAAAATCTGACTGAATGGAGTTCAACTAATTCACTTTAAATGATAGTTTGGGTGAATTTGTGATGGTTCCCACAGGTAAACAAGCCCAAAGTCTTGGTAAAAGATGCAGCCAGCCCTGAAAGGTGCAAACCAGCACCACTATCTCTCTAAATCAGCAACCCACCAGGCAGATCAGTGTCGATCTCTCCTTATCTATAAGAGCATCAGCTGTAAACCCAGAGGTAAACCAACAACCTGGACATTCTAATGCATGCAAAGGGGAATGGGATACACAAAAGATGTGAACTACCACAGGATGAGAAAAGCACATAAAAATACACAGAAGGCTTGCAGAGTTGAGGGCAAAGGTGTTTTCGCTGCCCTGGGGCCAGAGAGGGCAGGTGGGATGTGCCAGCCCAGTCCATCCTGCGTTGTCATGAGGTGTCCACAGCACCGGGAGATACCCAGTCCCACAGAGATGCTCTCGCAGGGCTGGGGTTGCCCCCAGGCTTGGAGGATCTTGCTGGGTGCTTGCGGGAGGAGACGTGAAGCTGTGGGCATGCAAACGTGAGGGCCTGTTTGATTCTGCTCAGCATTTCATGTGGATTATAGTGAGCCCTGACACTTTGCAAAAAATGGGGCTGCATGTGATATCAAAGCAAATTAAAGTGAGACCGCAGACACAGCGGCTGCCTTTGACGAACCTCCCGCCTTTTTTTATAAATATATTTAAACACCACCTCTGCCAAAACAAGCTTTGATCTCCCAAGGAAAGGGGCCAGAACCCTTCACTGCTTGCCTGACTTACAACTTTTAATTACTTTGCTAAGTGTGAACTCTCCTCTCAAAGCTCTGTTACGCTCACGAGGCAGGGCTGCACTCCGATCTTGGATTATTCATCCTCCTTCCTCCCCCTCCTCATCACTTCTTTGTGGCCTTGCACTCCAAAAGCCAGATCTGGCTCTGGTTTATGCCATTGCAAACTGGGAGTTATGCAGCCTGAATACTGAGACCTTATTTGGCCTTGGAGGACAGATCAGGTAGTAACTGTTTTGAGGCAAAGCCTTGGCATAGATATGAGCTGTTGCTGAATGTCACCAGCTCTTATCAAAGCAGATAGGAGACACCAAGACCTGATACCTCTGAAAATCTGGAGTATGGAGAGGAATGTGTGACCAGGGAAGCCCAGGAAGAAAGGAAGGAACCTCCTTGCCTTCAGCTTTAATGTGAGGCTGGCGTAACCACGGAGAAGGTTCCCTGTCTCTGAGGATGCGGAGATGGTGCTGGCCTTTGTCAAGGATATCAGATATTGCACAGAGCCAAGCCTGGGCTCTCCTTAACCCAGGGACTCTCTTCCACCTCTGCCTCTGCAGCTGAGCAGCTGCCACGGCCAAGTGAAGGCTGTGCTGCCCAGGGGAGGGATGCACGGGAGGGTGGCGGGGCATCGGACACCCCGAGGCAGGCTGCAAGTAAATTAGGCTCTGACCACAGGCACCTCCTTTCCCTCTCTGCATTGTCAGGCTCCGCCAAGGTGACATTGCCTGTGACGGGATGTGTCTAGGCTGGAAAGCTGTTTGCTTTTCCATTTGCCAGCTCTGCTTCTCTCAGGCCTTGTTTTATCAGCCTCTGTGGGTGAGGTCATGAGAATTACGGGATGGGGAGGACAAAGCTGGGGATTTCCCACCACAACACCAACAGACGAGGCAGGATTGTACCCATGAGAAGGCCTTGCCTTGTCCCGTTGCCTTAGTCACAGCAGCTCTGCACATGCTCTTGGAGCATCTCATGAGAAGGTCTTCTGGCCTCTGCATCACCCTCCTCCCCAAGGACAGGTAGAGGCATTCACAGCCACCAAAGTGTAAGATGTGCAGACTGCCACGACCTGTGAATGCTGATAACCTGTGATTACTGATGCTGGAGGGAAAATAAAAACTGCACGCAATCCCCTGAGGAGCTATATGAGGTGATGAAAGAAAAAAATGATGTGCTGATCTCCGCTGTGATTAGCACTCTTTTCTGGAGAGAGTGATCACACTGCCTGAACTGTCATGGGTCATCTGCTCACCAGGAGAGGAAAGATCACTGCAGGCAAGCCTGCCTGCCATGCAGACAGCAGAGACAGCCCCAGGGGCATGTTCAGAGATCCTGAGCAAGGAAGGTGAAGCCCGAAGCAAACCTGTTTCATGGGGAAAAGAAGCAGCACAAGAGTGACTGCCATGGCTCTAGGCTCAGCTCTGCTACCAGCTTTCTGCACAACTGTAGCAAACTCAGTTTGCCTCTCTGCACTTCGATTTCTCCATCTGTAAAACAGAGGAGACCAACACCTCAGAAAGAACTAAAGTCAGAGCCCCCTTCAGACCAGGCAGCTGCCACAAGGTCCAAACCTCACCACCAAACCCTGTAAGAGAGCAACTTCCACATAAACCCCTTTCTCATCCCCTCCAGCACCACCAAAAAGATCCTGTCTCCCTACGTATCTGAAGCATCACGCTCCCATGCCCAAATGCCGCCTCACCCCAGTGTGCTGGGGCTCAAGCCCCCCACCAGCTCTGCCCCCCGGCACTGATGCCTCCAGCTTCCTTCCCCCTGCTGAGCCCCCACCAAGTCTTCTTGGCACAGGGCTGTGGGCAAAGAGCTCCCGGCCAGGAGGCGTTTATTAAACGGCCGAAAAGATGCCTCAGACAAATGTGGCTGTCAGGGCTCTTCATAAACAACAGCCGCAGCCTGCAGGAGATGGAGATTAAGGGCACGGTGGAGGTGACTTCTCAGGGATGTTTACAATACCCAAGGGAAACTTAATCAAGAGATCTCAGGCAGAAGGGAGCGGGCTCAGGGTGGTGGGTACGGCGGGGGCAGCGTGTTTTGCCTGTGATGTGTGGAAGAGGGCTTGGGTGCAAACTGGGAACCATGCACCACGGAGTAGGGGGCACCAGGGAGGGAAAGCTGTGGCAGAGGGCCAAGATGTGCTGCATCCACGCAGGGAGGGAGGTATTGACCCATGGGGACTGGCACCAGGGCAACCCCTAGCAGCACAGGAGGAGCCGTACCCCACGGGGCGATGCTGGCAGACCCCAAGCCCCTGATGCATTCCTTGGTCTAGGCAGGAGGATCTCCTAATCATACCATGTCACGGTCCAGTACTGGTCCAGCCTCTATCCACAGTGTGGGGAACACCCTCGGTCCTGGCCCAAGGCTCAGTCTGCTCTGACTTTGCTCTTATTCTTTCCTGGCTATCTCAGGAGCAAGACCAAAAGCAGGGTAGGAGGGGGGCTCAGGCAGATGCTGCTTGCACTGGTTTGTCATTCAAGCGCAAAGGAAGAACCGTGACCGATGCTTCATTAAAGCAGAAGAGCAGGGACGTCGCCTCTCCGACAAAGCCTCGGTTTGCATGGCAGAGATAACGAGCCCAGGCTCAGACATCCCACAGCAGAGGTCCCCCAAGGAAGGCAACAGCAGGAGCAGCTGTCAGCGCCCAGGACTTTCTTAGCCTTGCACCATTTTATCCCCACAGCTTCTGCACATCTAATTAAGGGCTCAAGTCTAATTATAGCCCTCGCTGCTTGCTAGGGTGTGAAGGGGGGGGGGGGGGAGGGGCACGGAAGGGGGCCGCGGG